AGACAGATACATATATATATATATATATATATATATATATATATATATATATATATATATATATATATATATATATATAAATAACTTAATCTAACATGTTAACTTTGACCATATAAATATTTTAAATAATATTTCACAAAACATTTTTGCAGACCACTTGGCACTATGGGGTTCTTGCTACAACAACTTGCAACATTACGTCAATGCCACTGATTTGTCTCACGATGCACACTAGTAAGGTTTTATTTTTTTTTTCTAAGGCACGTTTATAAAAGATACTTAAATGCCTAAATATGTTTTGCTGACTGGGCATCTTGTCTTTTTTTCCATGCACTTTCAAAATTAACAGCAACAGAAATATGGCTATTAGCAAGCTTTACCACTGTGTATTCAGTATTGAACTCCTGTAATATCTTATGGCAAATGCATTCAGAGATATTGGCAGAGAGTCCCAGTTCAACAAAACATCAAAGCTTTAATTAATAGTAAATGCATACAAGATGCAGGTTATGACTTTGACTAATTAGGGATTTCTTGAATTAAGTCTGCCCAAGTAAGCATGGATAGAACAATCAATATCCAATAAAAAGGACTGTACACAATTTACAAGTTAATGTGTTTCCAATAGCATGGCCCAGAGTTGAGGACGTTACTGACAAGTCCCAGCAATATAAACAGGACCCCATTATAAGGCGAGTAATATGGATAGTGAATTCATAGTTTTTGGTGAACCTCTTCCTTTAAAGTGAACATGAGATTAAAACTGACTTACTTCCTTAATGCATGTCTAATTGTGGCTAATACATTGATTCATGCTATTCCAAAGAAGGGCTGTCTTTGTAATCATTAATCACATTTCCAAAACAAAAAATTTGTTTTGTTTGTTTTCACTTGCAAATAATATAATTATGGAAGTAAAATCAGTTGTAAACGGCAATTCATGTTGACTTTAACTGGTAGACGCTGGACATTTGTGCATAATAGCATATGTTTCTATCTCAGTAATATCTCAGGGTAGGTTTCAAAAGATAAAATAAACAACACATTTCACATTACCTACTCCTTTGTGAACATCAGTGCTTGTATACTCAATAGTGCCATTGTGTCCTTTCTTGGGGTTCTCTTTGTACTCTTTATGCTCACCATTAGGACAGTATCTATATGAGAGACCATAGTCAGCCAGGTACACCTGAAGGAGATAAAGTCAGTATAAATCATCCCAAAGACATTTTCTTTCAAACTGAATCCCTCCTACTGTATATGGTATATTAGTGCAAAGCACAAAGAAATGGGGTCAGTATTTCGGTTCTGACAGCACATTGAGAAGTTAATTGATTATACTCAAGAGTAAGTTCCAAATGTCATCAATGCTGGCAATCAATAAAAGTAATAAAAAACACTCTAATTTGAGTACGTGCTCAGCTGCACTTGAATAGGTATTATATACACAAAAAGATAACCAACCGTTTAAGATGTGATTGTGTTGATGTGTATGCAGGCTCACCTTGCTTGGATCTTTGTGTCCCAATAATAGATTGGCAGCCTTAATGTCAGCATGGACGTACTCGTTGTCATGAATATATTCCAGCACATCCAGCTGTTGAGGGCAAAGTGACAGAGGGGAAGGTTAACATGAATAATTTAGTAACTTCGTAATGGCCTACCGTAATGACTACAGGCAGATGAGCTGGATGCAAGGCAGCTGGACTCCCAGCAAATGCAACTAACGTTTACTCAAAATTCATCGTATTAAGTAATGCTGTAAATACTTTTTGCCTCGTCACACTTATTACGTTCAATCAAACCCTTTATATACAGTATACTGAGGTCACTTTATACATACTCATGGGTCAAGATTACAGTGTGTCGATAAATTGTAATGAAGCAAGCAGCAGAGTTGTTATTGTTAATTATAACTAAAACTAAAAATCGTTTTAATAATTGAAATTGAGCTTAAATAAAATAAAATAAAAGACGTAAAACTTAAACTTGACAGCTAACTGAAATAAAATAAGTTTAACTGAAGTACTAAAATTACATCTAAATACAAACATTAAAAATAAAAACAAAAATAAAAGGATATAAATAATAACACTGGCAAACAGCTCTAAACTCAAACTAAATGTTGCAGATGTCTGTGGCATCTCACCATGAGGACACCCAGCTGTAGCACGGTGGGCTTCTTCAGTTGTCCACCATTCTCCATAAACACTATTTGCAGGTCTGTACCCAACCGATCCATCACCATAAATCTGTACCTGCATAACCGGAAAACAAAATGAAAATGTACTTAGTGTCCCAGACACACATTTATTTGACTGTTTTAAAAGGTCATCGGATGCCCATTTTCCACAAGTTGATATGATTCTTTAGGGTCTTAATGAAAAGTCTGCAACATAGTTTGGTTAAAATGTCTCAATGGCAGTGTAAAAACACCTTTTTTTACCCCGTCAAAAACAGCTCTTTTCAGAGCAAGCCGTTTGGTAGCATTTTCCTTTAAATCTTAATGAGCTCTGCTGACCCCAATGGCGGCCTGATGACAGCTCACTCAGGGCGGGTCTAAGGTAAGACGCCAGTCCAGTCTGTGCTGAAACGCTACTGTCAATCAAACTATCATGGGAGGGGCCTGTTTTTGTGACGTCACACAGACAGGCATCTGAGATCGGCTCAATTTGAGAAGGGTAAAGATTTTAGTAGATAAAAAAAAAATCCAATGATTTTTATCATTATAGGGTGGTTGTGTACACACACTGTCAACACATTTCAGTTCAAACAACTTGTAAAAGTGCATGTAGCATCCAATGACCCCTTTAAAACTGCATTGGCACTGATCCCAGATTTATCATTCAGACAGATTGAGAAATTAATTACATGAGATAAATTGCTCATGTCATGATGTAAGATGATATAAGTCAAACTCAAGTATCATAGTGTACCTTGTTCCGTTATTTTCAGTCAGTCCAGACCCCCAGTAAGTTGGAATCCCCAAAAACTCCAGCCGTTTGAACTTCTTCCAGTTGTTCACTGGGATTTCAGAGTTACAAAATATTTTAGCCATTTGACATATTTGCACATGCTTTATAAACACATAAGAGCCCTATATTAACGATCTAAGCGCATGGTCTAAAGCGCACGGCGCGGGTGCACTCAGGGCATATCCGAATCCACTTTTGCTAGTTTAACACGGGAAAACGGTTGGCGCGCCCGGGCATATGGTCTAAACGGGTTGTCCCTATTCTCTTAAAGCTGATGCAAGCTTGACTCACGTGACCTGCCAGAACTAACGCTAAAGCTTAATTTTACTCTTTCCTATGCCAGCTCTTTCCCTCTGTAGTAAACATGCAGTGAGGCCTGGCTGTAACCTGTAGTTCCTGTATCCCAGGGTTAATTAAGCTGTCTGGTGCTCTGTGCCTGGATGTGTTTGGTGAGACGGCAAGAAGCCCCTTTAGCTTTGTGTCAACCCTGCTGTCCACATGGCCAGACCCTGCCTCTGTGCGACTCATCGACCTTAGGGTCAGGTAGACAGAGAGAGTAAGCGGAAAAGAAAGAGGACAGAGTCAGACACAAGGGAGTTGTATTTGAAAGTGTGTGTGTGTGTGCGCACATGTTCTGTGCTGCTTTGACATGGTCTCCCCAGACATGTGCACTCTTCTTTGCCCTGCAGGACAACCAATTAGAACCACACACTGCTGGATGTGAAGTAAAGCACCAGCAATGTCATCACCGACTTTCTGACACCTTTCATTGTCTTTTGTTAAAAGAATCATAGTGTTTGTTAAATTTGTTATAATGTGTTACTGAAAGAGGTTTTGAAAACTATCATCGTTTACACTACAATTCAAAAGTTTGGGGTCAGCATTGATATTTTTGAAAGAAGTCTCTTATGCTCACCAAGGCTGCATGTATTTGATCAAAATAAGGTAAAACAGTATTATTGTTAAATATTATTACAATTTAAAATATATTTCAAAATATATTGTAAATATGAAATTTAAATGAAACATTTTAAAATATATTATAGAAATAGTTAATTTATTCCTCTGATGGTAATGCTGTATTCTACAGAAATCATTCAAATTTTGTGCTCAAAAAAACGTTTCTTATTATTATCAGTGTTGCTTTTGTGTATTTCATTGTTTCAAGATTCTTTAAATGGGAAGCTCAAAAGAACAGCATTTATTTTAATTAAAAAGTTACAGTAAAGACATTTACATTGTAGCAAATTTAAATAATAATTATTTTTTGTTAGTGTAAAAGTCTTTACTGTCCCTTTTGATCAATTTAATGTGTGTAACGAATCAGCTCATGGGAAATATGAATAATTAATCATAACTAGTTATAATTAATTATGAATATTTTAGATCCGCTGTAGATATTTAGCTGACCTCTCAGGGTCAACTGTCTTGTGAGTCTCTCTGCTCACATTCCTTTCGATCGTAAATGTATCTGGTGTCAGAGTTGCTATGGAACCAGGGCCTGTTCGGCTTCCTGGGGTGTTACAGAGTATTTGTTAAATCTAGCTAACAAAATATATATTGTGTGTTTGAGTGGTCCAGACGCTACATGTGCCTTTCTTTGCTTAATAAAAATATTAATTTATTTTAAATAAATACATCTTACTCCCTTTTCTCTCCAACTTTTGAACTGTAGTGTATGTTTTTACCAAAACCAGATTACAAGTGCACAGTGTTTCTTATATTGTGTAAGTAAAGACTTAGAGGGAGAAATAGAATTTAAAACAGATGTGCAATCTTCAGTACTAATGCAATGACTGTATATCTTTGTGGGTATTTATAGTAACCCAAATCTGTGAGTTGAATGACAGCAGAAAGGCATACAGTTTCTCTAGATATACACAACAGGGAACCTTAACAAGCTTTGAGAATTACGCTGAATTATTCACCTGTGTGCCAATTACAATAATATTATTTACTTAGCACTACCATTTCCTTTTATGTTCTGCCTTAATAACAATGGATATTGAGTCCCTTAAGTGCTTGCTTAGATTTGCTTAATTATGATGCCTATTATCATCCATGTATCCACCCACAACTCATCTACTTTCAGTGCATTCTGTCTCCGCCTATGGAGGCCGCACCTCAAGGATAAACACACAAATACATGCTTTCACATAATCAACTGAACATTTACTTGCTATGAGTTCATTGGAGTATGATTACACAGTATAGAAATATTTATTTGAAGTTTTTAATGCCTGTTGAGACTTTAACGTCCATCTGTGAAGAAACTGTCTCTGACCTATCATGCTGGGCATTAATTTTGCTATTTTAACGGCCTCTCAGTACCATCAGATCATACAAAAGGCATTAGCAAGCATTAGACTGTGTGTGGTTCAGTTGTGAACCTCATAAGTTAACAGTCCTTTTTAATTTGGTCTCCAGTGGGTTGTTAAGAGCAGGGAATGACTATGAGAAACACAGAAACCCTTGGGCTATAATAATTCCCCTCTTTTTTCTATTTTTTTCTCTCTCTCTGTCTCTTCACATGCTCTCACCCTCCATTTACTTCTCTTCTAAGCCCTTGTTCAACCGTGCATCAAATGTAAAATACTCAAGTTATCTTCTCTCTTTTTTTCCCTTTCACTTTTTAATTGAACCACAGTGTTTATAGTATTTAAGGCCCTGGAAACAGGTTGTACAAATAAAGATTTTACATTTCAAATCCATGAATAGGATTTCCATTTCTCCTCAGATTCATCAGATTAATTTATTCAGATTAGTTTAACATATCCCTATAAACTGTCTACATCATAATAATCATAGGGTATGTTGCATCTGTATACCTGAGCAGATGACAGAAAGGGGAAGAAATCAGTTTTGTATTCATGACAGTTTCTCTGCACTGAAAAATCTCAATCAAAGCAGCTACAGAGTTTATCATAAATTATCATGAAAAGGGTTTCCACTGAGTAGATGCTTAATTACAATCTCATTTGAATAATTTTGCATATTAATGAGTGCCGAATGAAAATCGTTTTTGGAGTTCTTACTTGAGCCTGGGAACCCACGGTGATAATTGTAGACCTTTAAAATGTATGTGATCTTATTACTGCACCAAATCCAGCCATTTCTCTCAGCACACAGTTGCGTTATAACTTGATTAATGGACTTGTGTCTTTGACATTAATAAACTATAACCAAATTAGAAAGACTTCATTAGTTTCAGCATGGACCACATGTTTAGCTGCAACATGAATTAAACTGCTGTGATATCAGCACCTCCTAGCATTTTGTTTGGGTGATGAAAGTTTTCTCTGCCATTAGGACTTTCAGACGGGTGGAAATTAATTATCTGTGTTTTGAGCAGATAGAATACTGGTAAAATCTGTTAAAGGGATAGTTCACCAAACCTTTTGTCATTTTACTTACCCTTGTGTCATTGCAAACCTGTATTTCTGTCTTCTTCAGAACACAAAAGAAGATATTTTGAAAAATGTTGGTGACTATACACTCTAAAAAAAGATGGTTCTTTACATGCAGTAATGGTTTTATTTAGAACCATAGCATTCTGAAGAACCCTTTCATGCTGAAATGGTTCTTTGTCTTAGAGAGTTTAGGATTCTTTGTTCCCGCCCTTTTGTTTTTCAAATCTGTAACTGTCAAAGCACCTCATTACTGATTTTCTGGAGTTCAGTGATCCAACTACACAGACTGTCAACACACTCTCAACAGGTAAATGATTTAATTCTTAAAATTTAAATACAAATTTAACTTTAAAATTGTAACTGGTTCCCAAACAAACATGTTCTTATCTTCTTCTTTTTTGTTGTTGTTTTTGTTCACATATAAGTGTGTGCAGCTCAGTTGAGCTGTGGAAACTTCTCTCCTCTTCTCCACTAAGTAAAAGAGACAATGAATTTATAATTAATATTGTTTTTTTATTATTATTATTACTTGGGTTTATGTATAAACATACCCAGTCACAAAAAAAATATTATAACTATTCCATGAATTTATATATATATATAAATTCTTAAAAAAAGAGACCTAAAAGAGTCCATTTTTGCTTTTGGCCTTCATAAACAATTGTTTTTACATAAACACATGGACACACTATGACTCTAAACTCAATTGTGTATGTCAGATGTATCACATACCACAACCTCATCATTTGCAGAGAAAAATTGCCACTTAATCACACCAAAATGATGAACTTTAAAGCATCATATTTATTGTATTGTGATTGTTTCACTGAAAGTTGGTCTTCATCACATCAATTTTTTGTTCTTTATGTATTTACAATCTTTATGTATTTATTCATGTTCAATGTCATGTCATTCATTAATGTATTCAGCTAATAACTGTTATTAAAAGCACTGATGATTTTGCATGTCAATAAATACATACTTAATTCACACAACATGATGCTGATGTGGTTATTGTTGTTGTTGTTTTAATGTAAAACCCTAACCGAGGCTACACTCTAAGATGCCTCATGTCAGCACACTCTCAACAGGTAAATAATTTCTTTCTTAAAATGTCTATAAATTATAACTTTCAAATGCTAATTGTTTTTTTCCCCATGTCTTTTCTCTTTTTAGTTTAAGAGAACATGTAAGTGTGACCAGCTCTATTCACTAAGTAAATAACAAAGATATTGAATTTATGGTCCATTTTGTTCGATTTTTTTATGCATAAACATACCCAGCTATCCCATGACTTTATATTACTTTTTCCTTTTAACATTGTGAAATGCTCACATACTACTTTTGGCCTTCATAAACAATTGTTTTCACATAAAAAAATAAAAATAAAAAAACGAAAGGAGACACATATCGAAACTGTGCTCAATTGTGCTTTTCAGATTCTACAACCTCATCATCTGCAGAGAGAAACTGCCATTCAATCACATTTGTTTTGTTTCTTTAAGCATTTATTTATGTTTAATGTCCATTGTTGTTCATTAATGCATTCTGCTAATAACTGTTGTTAGAACACATTTTTGCTACAATTTCACATGTCAATAAAAATAAAAGTACCTAATTGACACTTGTTGTTGTTATAGACAAGAAATTATAAGACCAGGCAGATAGAGGGGTGAAATCAATATTAAT